TTTTACTTCTAAATATCAAAATTTGTTCAATGAGTATTTTAAAATAGTTTATTGTTCTGGGCTGTAGTCCAAATGCCCCTAAAAACACCCTGAAATATTTCTTAAAATTCAACCAAAATGTAAACGGAATTTGTTGTAAATTTGTTAAGTTCTTAACGACTGCATGGGAAATATTCATGAAGGAAAGTTCGTGGAAAGTAGCGTATATTCAAATGGGCTTGTAGTTATTAAACGCACTGTAGATGTTGAAACGCTCTTTGCTGTGTGGTCGGGTGGACACACAATGTACACGGCCAACTGGGCGGATTGTTATTAATTAGAAACCTCCAAAACCGAAGAGGCTCAGCTCTGTCCTATCTGTACATACACCCTTAGACACGCAAACCACTCAACCCCCTTTCATATACATAGGTTTAGGTACTCAGAATGCCTAGCAGATATTTCTATTCGATTATTTATAATTTTTCAATATTAACCAATTTGATGCCATGGTCGTGACCCAACTTGCAAAAGATTTTTAATGCCCCACTTTCTTCTTTTCCTCTTAACTTTAGACATTCATGGTTTACTATAAAGTATAAGGAAAGAGAAAAACCCGATTGCGAAAGAAAGGTGAACAGTTGGCAATGTCATCGCATCATAAACATGAATAATTGCGATGCTTAACGGGCGTTGAAAGCTCAGGAGACATCAGTTGGAGGATGGGTTTCCCCTTCTATTCTATTTAGTGTGTTTCTTGAGTTTGAGTTTTAGACCATACCCCTTAATCGAAAAGAAAATGTGAGTACCAAAACGGGTTCGTATAAAAAGTTGTATGTATTAAACCTTTTTTTGATAAATTAAAGTTAATGCATTTTTTAATTGAAATAGGTCAAGTTAAATTTAAAGGTATATTTATTATTTTCAGTATTCTGAAAAATTTACTGAAAAAAAGGTTGATAAAACTTAAAAACCAAGTTAAATATTAAAAAAATATTGGTAAGGAATCTTACCTTGTAATTAATTAATTAAACATATATCAGTCTCGGTCAGCGATGTTATTACCATAATTTGTTCTTTAAATACATTTTAGCTCATCAAAAGTTATTTCATAAAAAAGTCGTCTTTGGTAGTGGGAGAAGGGTTTTGCCACCAACTTAAAAAATTGGACCACTTATTCCCAAAAACCTTCTTTATTATTATAGATATTTGTATTATTTATATTTATAACAGCTACTAATGTTATTGAACATGCGGCTGAAGTGTAATATGGAAACCATAATAATGATATATAATACCTTGCATTTTGTGTGATATGTGTTCTTCGAACAAGGTATCGTCCGGTCGAGCCCTCAACTTGCGTATTTGATTTTGTCCAATGTGCGTTCGTGCGCAAGTTTGAAGTTGCCACAACCTTAAGGACGGGTATCGGATGTTGGGGGCATACATGAAAAGTAGCTTAACATTAGACAGGACGACATACGACACTTGTCGGGCAGTTGGTGCCCTTCTACTCCTCTCCTGCAGCCGAGGCCATCATTGACAGCCATCGAGTGTGACCCCAGAGGGTGGATATAGGGCGGATCGGGTGGGATAGTGATATAGATAGATAGAGTGCTGCCCTAGTCCTCGCTTTGCACTCGCACTGCATCGGATGTAAGCTCCTTCAGCGCTCGCTCCTCCGTCCCCTCATTGCTGAATTTTCGATTCGATTCGATTTGATTTGGCTGAATGGATGGATTATGGCTCCCAAATATACGCACGTGTGAGCGAAATCTGGGTTACTTGGAGATTGTATCGGATAAGTGTGCGACGCGATATGAACCCTGAGCGAAAATATCGCAGTTGTGTTATTGCATTCTAAATGAGATTTGACGAGTCTTACAAACGAATCGCGTGTGAATGGATGAGGGCTTCCGCTCTCAAAAGCCCACTCAAACAGGTATCTAATTAGGTTTAGGGCAAACAATCGCCTAAGCCAATTGAGTGAGTTCTTGCCTGGCTAATTAGCGGCTTTAGCGGTTTTAAGGTGTATCTGAAATATTATTCATAGCTGCTGCGAATTGGATTTGAGCTTATTGGCTGGTTGAAGGAGAGCTAAAAGTTTTTGCTCAACAATGACAAAAAGACAATGGCCAAACTTTGTTATTTCTGGTTTTTGTGGCACGGAAAATGAAACGAAATCCAACGGCGGGAAGCATGGGGAGATATGTTGGTCGGACAACTAATAAAACTTTCTGTGGCATTCAAAAAGCGTATAGCTCGGAATCTTGTTTTCACCTGACTGCCAAAAAAAGCGAAAATAGCAAACAAAAACTGAAAAAACGCGTACTACATAAGCATTTTAAAAGTTGAAAAATTCAACTGTACGACCGGAGCAGAAAGAACAAATATAAATGGCAAGGCAAACTGAAAAATAATACAAACTAATTGCCAGCTAAATAAAGTTTATCCAACGAAAAACTGTTATAATATGTATAACATTTTTTCTCAGCTACTTTTCTTCGAATTCGTTTAAACTTTTTCAGCAGCTTCTGGAGAAAAAACGCGTAACAAACTTTCATCAAATTGAGCGGAATTTTTTTGTCCGCCGACCAATTTTTGCTTTGCAATTCCAAACTCAATTTTGGTTAGGATTAACGTTGATGTGCTATTAAACTGGCAAAAGAAAAACTTTTAACTCTATGAACTTCTCTTTAGATTTGGTCACTCGGTAGATCAGAAATGTAATTTAGAAAAGCCGGAGTCTTTATCGATATTGTCGTTAGTGCGAGTTAATAATTCAAAGTCATCTCCATTGTTGTCTGCTAATGATGGTAAGCGGTTATATTGTATTTGTTAAAAAGTGTGTTAAATACGCAGAATATGTATGTTTTTATAATTGCGGACAGAAGTTTGCAACGCAGTGAAGGAGACATTTCAGAACCTATTAAGTATATATATTCTTGGTCAGCATGACAAGGAGGGTCGATCTAGCCATGTCTGTCCGTCTGTCCGTCCGTTTCTACGCAAACTAGTCTCTCAGTTTTAAAGCTGTCTGCATGAAACTTTCCCAAAAGTTGTCTTTCTATTGCAGGTAGTATATATGTCGGAACAATCGAAAAAATTATAACTTTGCTGTTTTTAAATTTTTTTTTTAGTTCTTCGACATATAGTAATGGTTAAATATTTTAGAATTACGGTTAAAATTCCATCAAAATCGGACGACTATATCATATAGCTCCCATAGAAATAATAAAAATATATAAAAAAAACTATCTAATAATTAAGCTGCGAGTCATCATAGCTTCAATTTTTTTAAACATATACGCAAGTCAATCATAATTTTAATGTTCTCAAGAATATTTAATTTTTGCATTAGCTGCAAGGGTATATAAACTTCGGCTTGCCGAAGTTTGCTTCCTTTCTTGTTTATTTATTTTTTAGGATAAGCTTAATTAAAATTAATTATAATACCCTCTGCAAGGGTATACAAATTTAAATTTGTATTCATAGTTAGTTCTCGGCTCGATATACAGAGTGCATAGCGTGGTTCGAAAAAAAAACACTTTTTGGGTTTTTGTCTGATTGTTTTAATATATTTTTTTAATTGTCTTTTTTTTCAGTGGCTTCCCTGATCGCAAGAAAAATTATTAAAAGTAAACAAAAAACGTCTAACTATCTCTCAACTATTAGAGTTCCAATTAAGCCATTAACTATAACCGTTATCCTTTTTAGTTTTCCCGAAATCTGAATAGCCTTAAATAAAGTTGTTTGCTACCCCTTTGGAATACTTTTATTAGCGTATAAAGCAATTTCCGACAGATTTCGCAACATAAATTATCAACTTGCCAGGACTTTGGGAAATGGGGAGGACGGATGTTCAGCTCGCCAGCCATTTGCTTTTGGCCTCACGCCCATCAAAGGGTCGAAGGACCTACACCCACCCGCCCCCTGACTCGTGACCTTTTTGGCAGCATTAAAAGTGATAATTTTCACTCTCACATGGGGAAAAGCGCAGAGAGGGAGAGCCACTTGGAAGACTTTTATTATTTAATTTTGCCCGGCTTGGACTAATAAATTAAACACGTTTTGACTTACGCCCACCCAAGGCCCGCCCTGGTGTCCTGATTTTAAGTAAAACGAACAAAACACAACACGTACGTCGCATGCAAAGAGCCAAACTACGAAAACGAAACTTTTTAGAGGGGATTAAGTGCCAAGACCCTCCTTTTTTGCCCCATTGTTTTGCGACTTTCAATTGGATTTCGTCATTGGTAATAAAAATCAGTCAAATCTTAAGCCAAGGGAGAAGACAAAGCGAAAGCGAAGCTAGTTTGAAATTGTTTTGATTCAATTATAGCGCTAAGCATGTATGGGTTTTTGAGAGCAGACGAGTAGTGCTATCATTCTATTTTATAAATTAAGCTGCCGGAGACGCAGATGGAGTAATAGCGTACTCACTTACGATGTGCCAAATTTACATAATAAATCTATTTTCAATGGATTTTCTTCTTCTTATCCGCCTCGTTTTTATCGTAAAAGAAACGTATCTCCAGCGGGTTTTGCCTTTGCACATTTTTTTTGGTATCAATAGAACCATTATACTTACTACAGTTTGTCCCCAGCCCAACTATCTTCCCGCATGTCTGTATTTTTCTTCTATTCTTGCTGCTGCAGCTCTGCGAATATTTGGTTAACAAGTGTAGTTGTGTGGACTCAGCCTGTGTGAATATGTGTGTATCTGTGTTGTTATCCACACATATGCCATATTTGTTTAGTATAAAGATGCTGGGAACCATGTGTTTCTCAATAAGCGTGTGTGGCCCTCATGTTGGAAAATATTCAACGCTTCACTAGTCTCTTAAAAAGCATATTATTTAAACCATCCAGCTGCATAATATAGAACAAGAAACTATGGAATAAATAAGTTACATATTACCACTCTGACCAAATTGCTTACTTACCCCTGTAACTTAAATAAAAATTAAAAGGTTAAAGCCCAAATACAAACCTTTTTTTCTATGTTCATACAATAGCCATTCAGTTTTATAATTTTTGCAACTTTATTATTATTTAAATTTCCATGTCATCTTAAGTGTTTGCAACTTGTTACACACTGTTTTTGTGGTAATAAACCAATTTATTTTAAACTAAATTTTCCTTTTTTTCAGTTGGTTTTTTTTATTTACTTTTTTTTACTGATTTTTACTATATTCCATTTAGTCCAAATTTGTTAATGCTAAGTCTCTTCCGCACAATCGATACACATTTTCTAACGCAATAATTTCATGAGTTTTGGTTTTAATTGTATCGTTTTGTTTTGCCAGTTATGCAGCACTCTATATGTTATTTATATATATTTGTTGTATTATTTGGCTAATTATGCTAAGTTTACACCATTACTTTAATGTATAGATTTATTTTTATAGAGTTATGTATATGCATACAGAAGCTATAGACTTAAACATTCTTAATTAGGCTGTAAATGGATTTTGTTTTTCATTATATATGACTTTTTACTTTGGTTTTTACTGCCGCTAAACGTGTTTATATAATTTACAAGTATTTTTAATAAGCCCGTAAATTGTTTGCAATTTCCGCGCTGTTTCACTTTAATGAGCTGTTCCATTGCTTAATTTTCCCCCTGTTTTTCCTCGGGTATCATTTCCATTTTAATTACAATTTGGGCAATTGTGTGCAAATAGTTGAAATAAAGAAAAAAACCAACTGAATAAAAAAATACGATAAATTATGAATATTTGTTATGCTTTCACTGCGCATTTCAATTGCCCCGCTTAACTCCTAATGGAATTTTTAACTATTTTCGCAGTTGGAAGTTTTTATAGCTATATAGAGAGCTTACTTGTTTTTTATTGTGAGAGGGCTTATATACGCATTTAATTTTAATAACTATATAAATATTTATTTAGTTACATAACAAAGTAGCTGCATGCTTACAATTAACAGTTTAATTTAATTTTGCTCTTGTTGTTTTGTTTCTCTTCTGTCTGACCAAAGTTTAGTTTCAGTTTTAGTTCGAGTTGATGTGACTTCTATTGTTTTGTTAGGGTAGTTGTACAGTGTCGTTTTTACAAATTAATGCCAAAACTTAAAGAAACAGCTCCTTCTCACCTGTACAAGATTTGATTTTATGACTGTCTCTTTTCCTGGCTGTTTGGCTAATTCCTTTTGTTTTTGTTTGGCTAAAATCTTCATTCTCTTTTTTTTCGTTCGAAAATGTATATATGTATATGGGAGTTTGTTGTTGTACATGTAGAGTACAACTTTTATTTCTGCAACTAGGTTTATTTACACACAATACACAATTATAATTCAGTCTTTGGAAGAATAACATTCATGTTCTTTTTTTTTTTGGTTTTTTTTCGCATTCAGAATTCTCTTAGTTTTTCCTATTTTTTTATTCTACCTTAATGTTTTCTATACTAACGCCAATAAAGAAAAGGAAGAGATTGAAATCCGTAACTTGGAATCATGTAGTTTTTATTGGTCCTAATTGGTTGCTCAATACAGATTGGAATGGAAAAAAAACAGTGAAATTGGTTCTACATTTAAAGCTAAAACACAAATTTAAAAAGAATGACTGTATATATCGTTCCATATTTCAAAACCATTAAAAATAATAAATGGAGATTAACACAAATAAATTTATTTCTAAAGCCATATTTGGAATAAATGTATATTTCTATTAAGATATATTTTACACTGCAAATCATTGAACCTATATATAATTTACCCATTCGGTGAACACTTTGCAGCTTAGTTTTAGTTCCAAGTTAACTTTCCTTGTTAATGAGTTCGACAATAATCTACACCTAACCATTTACAGTGAAATTTGTTCAAAGATCAACGGGCAACAGAGTTAAGCAGGGAGAAGCATCCGTGTTTATTGGATAGACACAGATTTCACTCCCGACACACGCCTACATACTAAGGCCTATGTAATTTATGTATAAAGACAGCTGAAACGCATAGGGAAAGGGCCAGGAGGTGAGGATAGGGATGCTGTGCGCTTAGAGATCACATTTAAAACGCACGGTCAATTAATGTCATACACGCAGCTCGTCCATCAGCGGATGTTGCTGCTGCTGCTGCTGCTGATGTTGCTGATGTTGCTGCTGGTGCTGCGTGGTGGTGGCCACAATTACCGGCACAGTGGGTGGCGTGGGCACCACCAGTCCACCGGCTGTGGTCAGCACAGTGGTCATGCTTTGATTATGATGATTCTGCAAGTGTTGCTGATGGGTTACCACATGTTGCTGCTGCTGCTGCTGTTGCTGTTGCTGTTGCTGCTGTTGCTGCTGGGCAGGCGAGTGCTGTTGGGCCTGGGCCTGCGTTTGCTTCATGCAGCTCTTTTTGGTCAGTGTGCCGCACTGGTTGCCCATCACTTGGAGGGCGTGTGGCGGTGGCATTTGAACCACCCCGGCCACGCCCACCGACCCGCTGACCGAACCACCGCCGCCCGGATCCTGCAGGGACTTCATGTGCTTCGGCGGTGGCGGGGCGCGGTGGGGTATGTCGGCGAACTCCGGCGGTGGCAACTGGTGGTGCTGCATGGCGTGGTGGTGCGACAATATGGTGGCTGGGTCGCTCTTGGCGTGGATGGTGAGCGTTTCCAAGTCGCCGCATATGTTGTTCGGCATCTGGCCGTTCTCCTGCCTCTTCAGCTTGGTCTGGGACCTGGGCTCGCTGAGCCGGGTCTTGTCTCGTTGGTAGTAGACCCCCGCGAAGATCAGGACATTCAGGATCAGTAGAGAGCACCCAATGGCAATGGTCACGCTCAAGGCCGTCGAGTAGGCTGCGAATCCATCGTTGTCCTGCGTGGCACTGGCTGCGCCTCCAGCATGATCTCCATCCAGCAGGTCGTCCGGGTATATCTTTCCGCCGCCGTAGCGAGTGCCGTTCCGCTGGAGCGACGAGGACGGGGAGCTGAGGTTGAGCAGCGAGAAGACCTGGTTGGTGAAGATCGTGAAGTTTCCCATGGCCGCCGCATTGGCCGCCCGCGAGGAGTAGGGCGGGTTGAGGGGCTTCACGGAGGCATCGCTGGCTATGTTGTTGTCCTCGTCCTCGTCGTCGTGCAGCTGGTGGTGTGCGGCGGGCACATTGTCGCCGCCCGGTTTGTGCAGATCCGGGATGAGGTTCAGCCAGAAGGAGAGGCGGTGTGCTCTATAGTGGTTCTTCAGCTTTGGCTTGGTATCTGCAGCAGATGTCAAGAAAGGGAAAAGAGGATTTCGCGTTTACTTTACTAAGGGCTCGATGGAATGAAAATAATCGCAGATTGGTTTTAATATTCAAGAAACTAAACTAATCCAAGCTTCGACTGCATTTCCTTACTAACCGAAATTTAGGTATTTCTTGTGCACACTCTCGTAGGCCGTCCACTCAATTGTTTTATAGCGACTCCGCTCCTGACGACTGCCATGCTCCGTTTCCATTTGCTCATTTGGATTGCTGCAAACGGGCGAGAAAGTGTGTTTAATATGGGGTGGGGTAGCAAAAATAAAAATTATTAACATTTATTACTGCCTAAGAACACAAGTTTTTGAAAAAAAGAAACAACTCGACTTAATACAAAGACCTTCCTGTGGGATTTATTAATTTTCATAGCTAAATAAATATTTTAAAATGTTTAAGACATTAATATATATTGCCGCGGGCGCGGCTAACAATAGTTGCAAATGCTCTAATTTCTGGCTTGTATTTATCATATCCTGTCCGAATATATATATATAATCCGAATACTTTTATCCTCCATTTAAAATGTGAGCAAAATCCAGCTGTCCCAAACTAAAAACAGACGAACTGTACATTCTTTACTAAGTATTTCAACTCCACAAACAATTTGTGTGTGATTAGGGTCAGTATGTTGAGCCCATCTGAAATAGAAATAAGCAGCATTCTAAAATTTGACTTACCCGGTTCGCACAAAGTTGGACCAGTAAAACATCACAACTTCCGATAGACTGATTTCGGTTTTTGTGTAGTTTCGCGTGAAATGATTGAAACCACCAACGAGCGGGGCACCGAAGATATAAGGCAGGTCCTCGCCGTGAATGCATCCCTGGCGCTGCAAAATGCCAGAAACCAGAAATCAAATTAAGTGTCAAGCTTCACATCATGCGTTTTCGTTTTGGATCTGTCAATGCAATAACTAAGTCTTGGCTTTAGCAATTTGATTGGATGCTTATATATCTAAACGCTTAGATATCCGAACCTTAACGAGTGTGCAAAAAGGTTTCAGAATAAAGGTAATAGGCGAAAAAGTACTCTTAAATATATCTCCAGCCCGTAGGCATTGGCTAAGCCGCATTTTTTTGAATCCGACTTCGGGATAAAATGTTTCGTTTGTTTTGGATTTAGATTATTAAATTTAACTGATAAAAGGATTCTTAAAATCAAGACAGACATAAAAAAGTTTGACAAATACAGAAATGTTTTTATGTGTTAAGTTCGGCAGGCAAAACATTTGCGCGATTAACAAAACTATTTAATATTTACAATAAAATTTAAATAATATAATATTTAAAACAAATTATATAATAATAAAAGATTAATTAATTTAAAATGAATGATCATCCATAAAAATTGGTGGCATATACATAATACATACATATACATAAATATATATATTGTTTTTTATTTTAAGTTATTGATTGTTGACTTTCGGTGATTAGTCGTGTATTATTAGGCACTTTTTAAAGATTCGTCGAGGTCTAGCATTTATATACTTAAACCTTTCATAACATGTGTATATGTGTAGGTGTATTTATTACACTTAAAAAAAATGATACCATACAAGGTATGGTCGCACGACATTTCTGATGTCATATAATGCCATTGATTATTTAATTTTGTCCTTTAGAACCGTTGTTGAACTTGAACTTACCTGAGGATAATCACCGAAGCGCGTCTGGTAGTCGAACACGTACAAGTACGAGTTGCGATGATCCGCCGAATGCAAATCCACCGTTTGAGCCGCCGGAGCCACAACCTGAGCATCGCTAAGCGCTTCCAGCGTTTCGTCTCTGCGAAAAATGGGAAAAAACAACATTAAAATCAAATAACAATTTTTCAATATTTGCCCGCCGCCCTTCAGCTCGCTTGCAATTTTCCGGCTATTTTGCTATTGCCCTCGCCAATCGAGCTGTGTTCAAGTGTGCAACTAACAAGCCACTTTGAGTGCTGCCACTTTCGTTGATGTGGCTCGTATTTACCTGTTTACCAAGTGGGGCTCTCAACGCTGCCCTAAGCCTATTTTGGGTTTTCATTTTTTTCGCCCTCTGATTTTCCAGATTTTTTCTTGTTTCTGTCTGTCTGCCCCTTTCGCTTTTTTAGTTTGTTCAGCATTCGGAATGCACCAGCGTAAAATTTGAATAAAACCCATTTGGCGCATTTGCATACATATCTTTTCAATGCAGTAAAGATGGCTCTTTTTGCCTTTTGCTTTTTATTATTTAGTGTGCCTACTCCTTTTAAAGCTACTTAAAGCTTCCTTTGACTTTGTTATTAAAATAATACCCACTTCTTCAATTTGATAATAATATTTTATAATAATTTCTTTTTTTCCCGGTTTCCTAAGTCCCAAGGTTTCAAACTAGAAAGATGATATAAAAGGTATAAAGTGCGAACTTTTTTTTCAGCCGGTTAACAAAATAATGTTATAAAATGATATTTTCAAGTACAAATTTCAAAAATTTTTGAAAATAATTTCATTATGTTATTTGAAATGTTCCTTAAATACGATTCCCTTATCAACATTTTCAAACTTTGTAATTGCTTTATTTGCTTTTATATAAGGAAAACAATAATTGTAACGAACGTTCTATTGCTATTAAAACAGGCAATTAAAGACCCAAATTGGTTAATCAGAACTGAAGATAAAAAATAAAAAAAGTCATTCAGAAGAAAAACGTTACTTACAATTTATAAAAATAAAACCATAAAAAATGTTGACTGTCATTTTCTGAATCAGGGATCAGACTTCACCGGAAAATTAAAGTTTAATACACAATTTTTTCTTATTATTGAAACTTTGTATCTAATCACAACGCTATGGGGGATAAACTTGTATGTGCGAGAAAGGCAAATCTATTTATTCTATTGCTTGCATTTAAATGGAATGGGGCCTTTCATTATGCTCGGGCGCCCCTCCTCCCACTTGAGTTTCCCTTCCTGGCACCTGTGATCAATGCTCTACGGAAACGCAGCCTTTGCCGGAGATGGAGCGTGAAACGTTTGCCGCGCTTCATTGGAGGCCACTTAACGCACGTCCGCACAACTCCGGCACCAACTTCGCACAGGCCGTGAATGGCAGTGTTGCGTATACGCCTCGGGTTGCACTAAAGGAAATCAATTTGTTTGCCTTAATTCTGTGGAAATATGGAAGGAAATGCCGAAAAAATTATGCAAACACAAACAAATTGTTTGAGGAAATCGAAACCAGAGTCGAAACATATATTGTACATGATATGAATGCATTCTGTGTGCCAGCTGGGATGTCACTTTGGCCTAGTCGCAAACATAAATATTGATTGAAATCGAAAAATGAAAGCAAATCATATATTTGATTTGGTGTGTGTGTGCAAGCAATTTCCATGTCACTTATACGACCCGTTTGCGGACAAATTGCACCCGAACATTATTTATGAAGATTGGCAGGCAGGCTGGCCGACCGTCCGACACGAAGCGTAGCGAATGGACAATAAATTTACATTTCATTTTCCATAAGATTGGAATCAAGATTCATTTAAGCCGCTTTAATTGAAACCTGTTCGGGATGTGAGCTCCGGAGCAAGAGATTGGCATGCCCCGATGCGCATTTAATTAAGAAGGAAATATTTATTTGGCAAACACCCACCCGCACCTGCTCCCTCAAATATCCACCTGCTCGAGCGCCATCTTCACCCTTTCCGTACCTTTCCGCCCCTTTCCGCCCCTTTCCACCCCTTTCCACCCCTTTCCACCCCCTCGGATCCGCAGGTGCGAGGGCTCGCATACAAACGCAATTACTCACCGGATATTAATTGGATGCTGCACGGGCCTCTCCCAATCCGTGTACTCATTGACAATCGTGGCGAATATCTCGTTCAAATGGAACGTGTACGTGTTGCGTACGTAGGCCTTTAAAATTCTCGACCGTCGATCCGCCTCGATTCCGTACTGCACGTCGCCCGAATTGAAGCTGAAAAAGGCCTCCGCACGTGTCACGCCGGCCATCAGGTCGTATCTGCGAAAATGTGAATGACAAATGGGGGTGTCAATATATGCACTCGCAAAACTCGACCCTACAATATTAATTCAATGATTATTTGTTTTTTAATCCAAGGTATTAACTAGACATAAATATTTTACAACAGGCAAAAGTTATGCAGAATATAAGCATTTCTTCGAAATTATATAGTTATGTTTATGAAATTTCTTAATCAAAATGTGTTAATCAAAATCAAAGCTTAAGACTTGTCATTTATTTTAAATAAGCTTAGTGTTATTTAGTGAATTGTCTCAAGTCCGGGATTTTAGAAGTCTCTTTCAACCAAATAAGAACTTTCTGTGAATTCCCGGAATAAGTTCGATTTTATGTATTTGCTTAAAGTCCTTGAAAGAGTGCTTACATTTATTTATTCTGATTTTAAAACTTGTTTTGCGTGCTTTAAGTTTTTTTCTTGGTGTCGGAAACTGCACCAGTTACCCCTCGCCAAAGATGAGTCTCCTTTGATAAGATAAGTCGCTGATTGAACGCCTTCACTGTCAGAGAATTCGGACCATCTTCCAACCGAATTAAGAAATAAAACATGGGTACAGCTGAAGTGCTTTCCCTGGCCCAAATTATGGCTTGTAATTAAGAATTTGCAGGCAACAAATTGCATTCCTAAATCTTCAATCCACATTTATCTCTCTGCCACAATAATTTTGCCCAAAAACTTTGGATCCATTCATTTGTTAAACAAGTTGAAGCAAACCCTACAGCTAACCGCACTCCTGATAGATACAAAACTTTGAGGCAACAACTTTGAGGCAAATGCAGCTGGAAAGTGTCTAGGGCCAAAGTATCCTCTGACCATCGCATCAACGTGCAGCATTTGCAGTTTTAAATTTGCTTTTGCCTTATTTGTTTACGCACAGTGTGAGATGGACATAGACGGAGAGGAGATTGGTCGCTTGAAAGTTTTGCGTTTTATATTTGGTAAATTTTATTTGCTCTTTGTGCATGTGTTTAATGGAATTCCTTTGGATATGCGGCGTGCGTGTGCGCCCCACAAATTGCTTTTAAATGTGCCCAAAGAAATATTTATACTCCTTTGGCAGGGAGACTGACTAATAGCCCTCAGGGCATTGACAGTTTACAAAGCGCACCGAGATAAATTGAAGTCAGACCAACAGTGCAACGCTGCACTCCGGTTGCAGTTCAAAGCCAGAACCTCAAAGTGCTGCAATTTTCAACTCAAAAAGAGTTCTCATTAACTATTGACTGTGCGTTTGATTGGCTGTCATTCCAATTCTCTGTTAATTATCTATTCAATTGCTTCACTTTACTGCTGGACTTCAAGTGCAGATAGCTAGTGATGATAACTTTTATGTGGAGTTAGTTGGACTTGGGTATATAATTATTTTAATAAAATTAACTCAATAACTGTAATACTACAACCAAATTAAGGTATCCATTTGCTAAACGCAAGGTTTTACACAATAATATTATTTTTTAAAGAGCTGCAAATTGTTATGGTTTTTTCTTTCTGGTATTTGAGCTGTTATTTTAATTGTGCAACTGACTTTTTATAATGACTACACTTCAATCTAGCAATGAACATTTTTTTCATTACCCTTTGACCTTTGTTATGTAAGTAGCGTTCCCATCACTACAGCTAAACTAGTTCAGGGACTCAGCAGCATAGCCGCACATCAATTATGGAATCGCGGCTAATTAGCTGTTAATAATATATATTAACAATGTAAAATGGCTCAAACACAAAGTGCATAAATCAAGTGGCCCACACCGCGCCACTCAGCTCTCCACAGGATTTACTATGGCCAGCAGCGTGCTGAGCATAGCAAAATGAAGCCCAGCATTTGCGTGCCTAATGTGCATAAATTAATTATATGCAAGTGTGGGAAAAGCTGGTGTGTGGCTAAATCTAATCGTGGGCTAAGCTAACGGCTGTTAGAAGGATCGTGCCGTGTCAAAAGTCAAGATAAAACTCTTTTGACACCCAACAAAGCAAGCACAAGCTTGGCAAAAGAAGTCGAGACTAAAATTTAATTATGGCACTTATTTCGGTTACATAAAGAAATACACCAGGAAAAAACCAACACAAAAGATAGGCCACATTAAACATATTAATCTATACAACTAATACTAATATTATTATATTTGTCAATTCAATATTATTGTATTATGAACTGTAGATAAGATTAAGGAGAACGCGGTATTATGTTTTTATATTGGCATAAACCCTTAAGTATATTTCCAAATTTTTACATATTCTATTATTTTTTATTTTCTAATTCGTAAAAAAAAACCCTCTGCAGGGATTTAATTATAACGATAGTTGTTTTATTAAGATAGGTTTAATGTCCTATAAGCTAATATGATGTATATGATATAAAATAAAAGAAAAATATTTGTGTATGACATTTTCTAACACATCCTTATCTCGATACTTTAGCTTAAATTTAATAACCAAAACGTTTTTCTTTGTGTAATCCCGCATATGTATTTGTTTGTGTAAGGGGTAAGAGTTAAGGTAAAAATAATTAAGCATTTGCTGGCCTGGCCCAACTTACCTTGACAACTTGTTAATGGCAGTTTTTCTCATTAATACTGCATTAATTAAAAAGTCCGCCGCAAGTTGTGTAAGCGTGAGAGTTGTTGATCGTTTGTGCAGGCATACGTGTGAGGAAACATCAGTTTATCATCATCAAGTTCATCATCATCAACGGGACCCATTGGTGTCGTGTTAAAGAGAAAAGTGGAGAAACAAGAAAAACCATTACCTTTTAATTTATTTTAACTACTCAAAAATTATAGTAATTTGCGGATAAACGAATAATGCGACCATCTTAGTACACTAAAATAATTTTAAGCTTAGTTAAATTACTTTTTAATTAAATTTTATGTCCCAATATATTTTATCTAATTAATAAGCAAATACCATCGAACACATCCTTCGTAATAAAAATCTTTGGTAGCACCCGGTACAATGAGGTGTTGTTACTCTAAATTTTGTAATAGGTTTCAAATTGTATATTATTTATATTAACACATTAAAAGCTATTAATTTGTATCAAAAAATGCTTGGATTAATAATGTAAAGAACTTTTATTTGCATTTTATAATAATTAGTAATTTTATAGGTTTTAAATCGATCTGTTTTGATTTGCTTACAACATACCGCAAAAAAAATTATTAAAAATGCAGTAAAGAATGCAATTATTGAGTTATTCGACGAAGGAATACCACTACCCAATAATCAGGCAAGATATATGGACAACAAACCAATGAAAAACTCTAATCCTCATTGTTTAATCTCTTAGATTTTGTTGAACAATAAATGTTAAAAAAGGGAAGTTATATTAGTGTATGCCTAAAATAAAAGAACGATCTAAATATGTTCATAGCACTTGCACTAGCTTGCAAAAAACAAAAGAGAAAAGTCAGCAAAATAGGTACCCTCTAACCTACCGATATTCTCGAGCTGTCCGGGCGTCCCCCAACCGCCGGCAGCCGCGATCCCCGCCTCGCCGCCCAATCCGTTCCCGGCGGCCGTCGACGCCTGGGCTTGGGCTTGGGCCGCCGGCGACCCGGGGGCGGGCGGTACGTAGTCCCCGCCGTCGATGACCACCCCGTCGATACTGGGTCCGAAGGCAAAGCCGAACTCCGGCGGACGGATGGGCACGCTGAGCAGCTGGTCCAAGGTCTTCTCGCGCAGGCACTTCATGAGGTGGGCGTGCGGGAGGTCGGAGGCGCAGTTGACGTGGTGGGCCACGATGGCCGCGTACTTGGCCGGATTGCTGACCAGCGACCAGGGCGCCAGGCCCGAACCGGACATCAGGATGGCTCGATTGAAGAGCAGGCCTTGGGAATGAGAGGGAACAGAGAAAAATTATATAAATGCTAAGTGGCTCATCAATTGGGAATCCACAGAAAGCTGTGTCAAATCGTCAAGGAATTTGCTTTGAATCAAATAAAAGCAAAACAATTTATTGGATTTAATTTTCAAAGTAAAAGTCGTTAAAAAACAAATAAAAACCAAACGAAGCAGAAAAATCGAGTGCCACGACCACCAGATACCCGTTACTCTCTTAACCAAAATCAAAATATGTCCAACAAGTGGCGGTATTTGTCGGAAGACATTGAGATGTGTTTCGTAAGACATATCGATATCGGTTCTCGATATAATCTTAGTTTATAGCTTCTCCGCGAGATGGTGTTCAAACTTGGGTCGCCACAGAGAAGTATTTACCTGATAGCGTTGACGTTAAAGTTAAACAAAAGTTCTACATAGCTTCCGAACAAATTATTTGATTTGCAAAATATTGTAAGATTTGTGGGCGTTTAAGTGGGCGTGAAAAACGGTTGAACTTTTGTTGCATATACGTAGACCCATCTCTAGCTTTTATAACAAAGAAAGTCCTTAACTGTTTAAAATGGGCCGCCCAAGAAGCAGATTGGATTGTTGCTGAAGGAATTACGCGTTAATTGTAATCGGAAAAGTGTAAATTGCGATACTATTTTGTTTTCCGTATAGCAAATTGACATGAGGGAAGTGAGTGTGGAAGTACTCACCCTCCGGCACGGCCATCGACGAGATGAGAAAGTGGACGCATGCCGCCCCCGTTCCGTGTCCTGCGAGGGTGATGCTGTTTGGATCTCCGCCGAAGAACGCGATGTTCTCCTTGAGCCAGTGCAGCGCCGCGATGATGTCCATCAGACCGTAATTGGCCGGCAGCTTGGAGTAGCGGTCCGTGTTGGCATTCAGAAAACCTGCGAATGGACAAATAGTGGACGGGTTTTCCCGCACTTAATCAGCAGATTTGCTTGCGCGCCTGATTGGCTCGCGAATGGAAATTTAATCGATTCGCCGCGTACTCGTGCAGTCAGTCAGACGGTTGCTTTGCCTGTTTAAAATGTCAAACGCCTCTCTTTCATTCCCGCTCGCTGGGGCGCGCAAAAATGTGCAAAGTCACGCGTGCAAATCATGATGTCAGCACTTCCGTTTCCTCTGCAACAACAGAGGCGGTGATAGAAAAAGGGGGTGGAGAGGGGTCGGCTCACTGAGGGAAAGGGGCTAAAAAAAATGGTGCCTAGCGGCAAATGAGGTCACACTAATTTCGTCTGTGCATTTCAATTTACACAGAGTTTTGGGCAGCGCACAGTGGTCTCAGTTTGAGATTGGGGTATTCCTATATTAAAAATACAAAAAACTGGTTCTCATAACTCCTTTCAGGGCTTTAGGGTGTAAATACTGAGTTAATAATAAATAAATATTACTGACTATGCAATTTTATGATCAGTACATTGCAATTAAATACAAATTTCTAATGGTTTTAATTGTTCTCGTTTGACAAATGTTTCAAAATGTAATTGTAAAATGAAGCAAATCGAAATAAAATTCTGAAAGAAAATTAATTTTACTGAAGCAATTTTTCCTCAACCAAATTTGCGATAGTTTTTAATTTCTCTTTCTGAAAATAATCTGCTGCATATATTACTTTTTCTTCTTTATAATTCTTTTTTCAACTTTTTATCTTTTATATATTTTTAATTAATTTTTTTTTGTAATTAAAAATAATATTTGTCAGTTGATATGTCTATATAACAATGTCCACTGTGCCGCTGGTGAATTTTGCGGCAGACTCTAGCTAAATTAGTTGGATTATGGAATAAATGTACGCCTGTTACAGCTGCCGTGGTAGTTGTTGGCGCCGGAAGTGCAGTTGGTGTTGCAGCTGGAGGGGAAAGGAGGTTGGCTCGAAGGCAGAGGGGTTCGATTTGGTGGCGCACGTTCGCCCCATTGCACTCACTCGGCCGTCCGTCCGGCAGTCATTCGTCCTTTTGGTCATGCACTCGGCATATCAATTAGCATTAGGATTCGAGTTTTCAGAGCACTTACCCAGCACTCCGAGGCGATAATTTATGGTGACCACCAATATTTGTCCATAGCTGGCCAGCACGGATCCGTCGTAGGGATTGCCGCTGTTCCACTCATACGACTCGCCGTGCACAAAGACCAACACAGGATACTTGACGGGACCTCCTCCTCCGCTTCCTGCCGACGATGATGATGATGACGAGGAGGATGAGGATGAGGATGAGCTGGAGCCACCATTTCCCGACGACGAGGATGACGATGAGCCGGCGGATGAGGACGAAGAACTGCCTGAGGAGTCACGCGATCCGACTGTAAAATGCAGAGAAAACATAATATCAGTTTGAAATCGAGGTACGCTAAACAATTCTGGAAGTCAATACATTTTGAAAGTAATATATTATATGTATTACATTTAAATACAGTATAAATAAATGCTTTGCTTTGCAAAGAAATTTATATTTTCACAAGACTGAAACAACCCCACTTTTATTGTTAACGTGTGAAGTGAACTTTATCCCAATAAAAGTATAAAGAAAACAAGAAAGAACGCTATAGTCGAGTTCCCCGACTATTAGATACCCGTTACTCAGCCAACAAACTTCAACCTAAGTATTTCCCCTACAAAACCATCGAAGTTTAGAATATATATACTTTATGGACTCGGAAACGATTCCTTCTACCTGTTACATACCAACGAATGATGGGTATAAAAATTTAAATTATTATGGGAAACAAACACAAAAACCCCTACAAAAAAAAATGTTTTCTCTGTGCAACGAAACGACGATTGACAGCCGCTTAATTGACGGAAGCGATTGCGGAAAAGTGTATAATGGGTTAGAAAATATTGAATGTCTTTCCGGTGGAATTCCTTGAGAAACAATTTAAGCCTGCAACGAGAAAGTAATTGCGGAAGAAGAACCCTTACCTTTAAGCCGCCAGCTGAAAAGCCAGAGCCATTAATCAAGTCGATCGAAGAAAATAGGTAAACAAGGCATTAAATCAGGCCTCTTCCATTGACTCGATTCCGGGACAAATGAGCGCCTAAGCCTCGAAAATAGCCAAATTAGACGTAAACAACTCTTTTCCCGTTTGGCTTGTGTGTAGAAAGCCCAAAGTCATCGAAGGCTCTCCTGGTCTAGTGGATTCTAATCGGAACGGACACGTTTCCGAGCTTAAGATATTTACGTATTGAAGGGCTTTTTCCTTAAGAAGGAAAAAATGGGAGCCCTGAATTGATTCCCTTTTGCTGACGTGTGCATGTAAAGTTATCCGAAAATGGTTGTGAGCCGTCGAAGAGGTACATTTGGGGATTAAGGCGCAGAAGCTCAATGTTTCGGGCAGGATAAATATATTTGGAAAATTTTAAAAAGTAAGTTTTTGCTTTAATACATCCCATTTTAAACTAACTTTTTCTTGAAACTCCGCGTCAATTTAACCAAAATTTATTGAAATTTTAAACGAAAATTTAGTTACATCTTTTTAGAAATAAAAATTCAACAATTGATTTACAAAAGCTTTACTTTGCTTAAAATGTTAAGCTATGTATATATCTTCTTAAGCATTAACGTGAGTCTTATTTTAATTTGACTTGGTTAAATTACTAGTATATGCTCTATACCAAAATGCAAGACATCTCTTTAAGGCAACCTGCAAGTGAAACTAAACTCCCTTTGCAGCAAAGAACACGAAATCGCTCGCAAAATGCAAACATAAATTTATCTTTAGAATAGAAGGAAACGAGGAGGAAAGCATAGTTTGTGCAGTTGCATCTTTGGTAGATACATATCGCATGTATCTGAGCTAGTCAACATCAGGCGGGACCCTCGCACCACCCACACACCCAACACCCACCGCCCACCACCCACCATCAACCTCCTGGCGAACAAAGCCACAACAACAAGCAGAACAAAAGCAATATGAGCACTGGTTTCTCGCCTGCTGCCCACATAGAAAGTTGCTCGCTGGAACAAAAGAACCTGCTTATCAAAGCGGAAAAAGAGTTGAGGAGGCGATGGTACTGGGCTTGCTATGGAGATGGAGGTGGAGGTGGAGATGGAGGTGGTTCTGTTACCAGGAGTTAGAAGAAGTGGCGAATCGAGCACCATACAAAGGCCGAGGAGGAAAGCAAGTTACTGTGTCAGTGACTTTTATAAATAGCGCGAACAAAGACCGACTCGTGGCACGTGTGTGGAGCTCAGTCAAAGAATCGAGCGGCATCGGCACCATGTATAGATACCTATTGAAACCTGGCCAAAACCGAGTGTGTGCCAGTCCATGTGTGTTAACGTGTCACCGAATGGAAACCAATGTCAATATCTATGGAAAATCTTCTCGCCTTGATGTCACAGCGGTGTCAAAATTCTCACATTTTGAGCTCATTCAATGTGTGTTCTCAGGCAAGGCATTCTGTGACCATTATACTTCATAAATGAAGGACAAAGCACAATTTTCACAATATATTTGTAATCAGTAATACCAAATATATCGTTTATGTCACACTATGAAATCAAAATAATTTAGTTATTGAATTTAATGAAAGAAAAACTAAGGATACAGGGAATACTCACAAAAAATTGGAGTCAGGGACCCGGCAACCAATTTCATGGTTAAATATTTATTTTAATAGATATTGGAATACAAAAACAAAATACTCACATCACGGAAAAGACACTATATTTATGGTATTTTGCGCTTTGGTTAATTTGTCATTAGGAGTCGATTAGTATTAAAAATAACCGCTAAATTATTTTTTTAAAACTTTTTTGAGTACAAGTTATTTACCGTCAATATTATCCCAAAATGTCTTTTATAGCAATTATAATTTCAAATCTATTTATATTTGTTCTTTTGAGAGAAACAAATCAGGTGAATCCATAAAAACGTTTGTTACAATATGCCTTGAGCTAGTGATATTCTGGTGATATGGCTATTTATTAAAAGCATTAAAATAATTTGCCAATTTAGAACATAGCAGTTTAGCTCAGCAAATTTCACCGCATAATTGCCAAACATTTCTATATTAGTTCTGAGGGAACTTTTGGCTGTAACAGCCTATAAATTCCAAGCAGGCCACAAAAATCCAAAGCCCCCCTTCAGTCATTATAGTAATTTGAGGCCAGAAAGGTTCTTTCCAGAACGGGGCTGAAGGGAAAGCCACGTAACATGCAAACAGCATTTAAAACTTGTCTCAAAAACTTCCGACCAACCGTACAAAAACCCGGCCAGAAAACTTTTGTTGTCATTTCAACAAAAATGGCGACGTTTTCTGCAAGTTGCAGCCCCCGGGGGATGCTACTTACAACAACCAGAGAAAAAGGAATTAAACTTTTATGACTGCCCCCGAGAAGAAGTCAGCACATATACAGATGCACTGAGAACAATCGGATTCATTTTCAGAAAATTCGATCATAAGCACTAATAAATATGTTGGCCTGGTTTAAATGTGCTATTATTTGTTTGACAAGTTAAGATGCTTAAACTAAGTGTACAAGTATGACATACTGCTGTTAAATATTTTTAATTAGTATGTAAAAAATGGTTCACGTTATTCAGTTTTCCTGTGTACCAACAGATCGCAGACAGACATAAGTTTTGCAGTGCTCCGCCCACAACTGCCTCGGCGTAAAAAACATGTACAATAGTTCTTACCGGGTGCTTGGCAAAAAGTTTGTTTCGCATAATTCCAGCAAATGTAAATATTTTGTGGGAACGCGTCTACAAATATGTGTTTGCCGGAAAACTAATGCGACTTTCGGAGCCCACTGACGGGCTTGTTAATAAGTTGAACATGCTTTAATTTACACGCTCACGCAGAGCTTGGGTTCTTATTCAGTCAGGCATTTATTTGCGACCGGCAAATCAGAACTTGGATTTCAACTTTCGAGGCAGTCTCGCCTGAAAGTTGCCGCTGGGAGTTCCCGTCGGAGCAGTGTCAACAGTTCCGTGTTATTTTGACTGGCATAAGTTTAATCATATTTGTGGCATGTGGCAAAAGAGTACATTCTCTTTCAGCCAGCTAATAGCAGACATTTTCGTGCGACATTTTGCACAATTCTGTCAGTGTCTGACTAAATGGAACTGAAATGATTGACACTGTTAAAGCAGAACCCTCATAAATATGACAACTGTAGAAAATTAAATTTATAAGCTTGAAAGTAAAGCAAGAAAAACTGAATAAATTATTGAAAGTGAAGAAGAAGTTAATATGCAATATTATTTGTTTCTGATATACAGTTTGTTATACCCTTACGGAGAGTACTATAATTTCAGTCAGAAGTTTGCAACGCAGTGAAAGAGACATTTTCAACCCTATAAAGTATATATATTCTTGGTCAGCATCACTAGGAGAGTCGATCTATCCATGTTAGTCTGTCCGTCCGCCTGTCCGTCCGTTTCTACAAACTATCCCTAAAGTTGTCTTTCTGTTGCCGGTAGTATATAAGACTGAACAAACCGGATCGGACGGCTATATCATATAGCTCCCATTGAAACAATCGGGAAAAAATGAAACAAAAATTATAAATTTGAAGTTTTTTATATATATCATATACGCAAATGTTTTAGATTTGGATGTTTTAAAAAATTAAATTAAAAAATTGCTGCAAGGTTATATAAACTTTGGCTTGCCGAAGTTTGTTTCCTTTCTGGTTTTTAACTTTTAATAACTAACTATAAAATTAACTAATTTACTGTTTTAGATACTAACTCTAGTGTCATAGGTAAAAATCTAGTTTAGTTAGAATAGAAAAAGCGATGGATCTTAAAAGAAATTAATGATAAATTTTTTAATACAATTAAAGCAACCTTGAAAATATTCCGAAATTTATCTTTAAAACTAAACTTGCTTTCCTGACTAAAATTCAGGTTTGGAGAGCTTTTATACATTTAGATAAATCAAGTGCATGTATAGATATTTTTAGAATGTTTCAAAATTTAGTTTGATCACATTTTATACGAGTATATACACATAACAAAGTTAAGTTGACAAGCCACTCGAGTATGTAGAGCAATTTGTTGATAATAAAGTTGCTGCTATTGAAATTTATTTTCTAGTATGCTCACACAATATTGTATTGCTTGTTTTATGGCACACTCTTTCACACCCAAAACCAACCCAATAAAAAAGTAGGAAAATGAAAGCAGGCAGAGAAGAGGAAACCAAGTCTGAAAACAGCCTTCAGGCAACCAAAAACTAGGTGAAATCAATATCCTCAACTCATTTAGTTTGGTCTGCTGGCAGCCGCATTGTCGTCGTAGTTCTCCGGCTTTTCCCCTTACCCTGAACAAAAAACCCCTTCATTTCCTGC